AAGGTATTATATAAACAGGCAAGTTTTTGGAAACAGACACAAATATTAAAGTTGTTAAAATAGCAAATAAAAGCAATTTGATAAAATACATATTAATGATACTTACAAGAAAATTATTAGCAGAATATAGAGATTTACTGTTCCATTAGATGGGGTAGGAAGTATATTCTCTGTGTGCATACAGTGATTTTATTTTATTTATTTATTTATTTATTTATTTAAGTATATATCTTAATCTGGGTAATTAAAAACCCAGAAGAATGGTTATACACCAGATCTCAACTAAATGAATGGCACATACTTAGTTCATGCAGAAGCCTTATAAAGCTGTTAATGCCTTTGGACTAAAATCCTGTTACTGCTTTCAAATCCATGGCAAAGCTTTCTATGTCTCAGGGTCAGGACTCACTCTACTGTACTTCTGAGTTTCATTGCTCCTGATAAAATCCCTTAGGAGTCACAGCAAATTCCTGCTGATCCCTGCACAGAGCTGCCTCAGAAAGGAGAAGTGAATGGCAGCAGTGACCTACTGCTACCTTTTCTTCTTCTGAAGCAGCAGGATGCTCTGAACCAGCCTTGTCTGTGGGAGATGGGGATTCAAGACACCCTTCTGATGTCTGTTGCAGTTTACCTGGTCTTGCCCTTACCTCTGGAGGATTCCCTGCACACCCAACATATAAACATGAATTTGGTGACATGCTTGAATAACAGTTGTAAGCTGCTAGGTAGAGTGCAGCAATTACCACATTTGGTTAGATGAAGACTGTAAGAGGGTCTGAATGGACCCATTTTTGAGGTGATGGGTGCTTCCTTAGTGACTTGACTGACTCAGGACAAAAGCAGCCTTTCTAGCACAGTTCTGAATGAGCATTCTGCACTGTAAATTTGCTGACTTGCCAGCTTATTGCCAGGTAAAGCCCAGTCAGTGAGTATTGGTTTTCAAGTTTGAGCCACTCTTCCTCATGTATGCAATCTTAGTGCTGACAGCAGAAGCACAGGTAAAATGGCAAGCACCAATTACTGCACCCATTTTACTGTCACCGCTGAAATATTTATTTTCCAGGTTCTTCATAAACTATTTGCCTTTGGGTTTTACAATTCTAATCAGGAGCTTTATCAAACAATAGCTGTCGTCTTACAGCTAATTTATTTCTCAGAAGTTTCAGAGTTCATGCTGTTAAGTGCATGATATATGAATAGTGTCCACATATTTCCAGGAACAAGCCTTACATGCTTCTTGATGAGTTAAATATATAGATTTTTAAAAGTGAATATATTCTAATTTAGTCTCAGAACTATATCTAAATTCCTTTATTTGCCTTGGAGAAGCGCAGTAGTTCATCCTGTCATGGGTTTTGTGTATATATGAGAGGTCTCGTACTGTGTATGTAAAAAAAAATTCAAACAAACAAAATCCATGTTAGTTGAGGGATGGAGGGAGTTAGAAAGGAAGAAGATTCTTAAATAAGTCAATTTGATATGCCTATTCAAAGATGCTGGTTTTTATTTAAATTCCCACCTCGGCTACTGATACTTCTACTTGTTTATTTATTTTTCAAGTGGCTTGCTCTAGAAAAGAGATGCAAACTGCAAAGAAAAATATTCTCAGGGATGATTAACATTTAACATATTTAGCAAAGTAACAATGTATCTTTACATGTATGTGTTGCATGTTGCTGTTTGTGTTGCTAATGGAAAAAAGCAGAAGCTGGAGCTCTCCCTTTACGGCCAACATGAGCTTCCATTAATATGCACTTCTATTTTCTGCTCTGCTATTATTTTTCCTAAAGTCCTCATCTGTGTACATGGTTAATTACCTTGAGTATTAATAGAGTACATCTGCGCTGTAGAAAATGACTGTTCTGTTGCCTGATACATGTGGTAGCCATGGATTAAGACAGCCTAATTAAATGTAACAATGATTCAGAGTCAAAAGATACTGTTTACTTAGTGAGTTGACTTCAAGTATTTGAGTAGCTGAAGTCTGATGTGCATAATAACCTTCTTATGTAAATGCATAGGTATAATTTGGCCTTGTAAAAACTTGCTGAGAAGATCTCTATTTAACAGGAGGGTTAACAGGATGAAACAGTATAAAAGTATGGAGCAATATAGATTGGAGGCTATCCCTCTCACTATGCTTCTTAAACAGAGGTGTCACTAGTACACACACGTATTGATTTTGCAGTGCTACACTTGCATTATATCTTAAACTGATATTTAAAATCAATCTGTATTTTTAAGCAAATGCTTCAGTTGCCAACTCAGTTTCTGTTAAAAAAAAAACCAACCCAAACAAGTATCACTGTTAACACTATCGACCATCGCTCATTGGTTAAGAGAGAACTAAAAAATCTCAGAAGTGTGCTCAGTCACAAAAGTGAGCTAAGTGTTTAGCTCTACCATATGCCATCCATCAGACTTTTCTGCCATTGGAAAAACATGTATTTTATGCTTTTCTCTCTCTTTTTTTATGTTTTATTTTTTAATATTACAAGAGTTTGAAGATGATTATAATGATATTAAAGTCAAAACATTGAATCCTAACAGACGTGTTGCCTAAGTTTTGTGTAGGATTTCATGATTGTTCTAGTTTAGAATCTCTGCTCAAAGCCAGTACCTATATACATGGAATTGTTTATTATTAGGAAGATAGTTTCGTGCATTGCTTAAATTACAGCTTTAGTTAAGCTATTTGTGAATTGATTGCTTTGAAATACTGACATATGTATTGCAGCTGGGAATCAAACTGTGTTCTATGATTCTGTTCTTGCTTCAGTGACGTTCTGACTGCAGGTTCCTTTCAGAAGAAGACCCATAGCTAAAGCCAGATCTAAAATGCACTTCTAAGAAAGAGGGAGATTTTCATCTCACTACACATACTGTATTTTGCATTTTTCTGCATGAGACACGGAGAATGCATGGAAGGCAGGTGTGTCCAGGTTCTCCATCCAGTGTAGCACAGAGTTAACCTGGATAGCTGGAGCACACGTTATTCTTACACAGGAATAATGAAAACTTAAGATAGGAAAAAAATATCAGTCTTGATGAAGCCCCTAGTGGAGTATTGTGCTCAGGAAAAAGATCTGTTGGCTGTCATTGAGGCTGAAGAAGAGAGAGAACAGGCATAAATCTTCAAGAACAATAAGGATTTCTGCATACAGGAAGGAAATAGTCTATTCTCTACACCCAGAACATACTGAACTTAATTTAAAGTGTAAGGCTCAAGTCTGATGACTGAGAAAACCACTTTATGCCAAGCATAATGAATTGCTAGAACAGATTGCTAGAGGAGGTGACAGGCTCTTCATTACTGAAAAATCTTCCAGGGAGAGCTAGAAAAACCTCTTTTGCAAATTGCATAGGTACAGAAACCTCTTCTTGGAGCAGGAATATGGACTAATTACTCTTGAAGTAATTTTTAGATGTACATTTCTGTGACATTTTATTACAGTCAAACTGTGGCAGAGTTTTGTAAATTAGTTGTGGGTATAAAGCATTAATATTGAATATTTAGCTACCAATTTTGAATAAATTAATTTTCCTTACATTGACACTTTTAGCATCATTAGCAATTAAATGAGTGTCTTGCATTTAATGTTTACCCTGTCTCTTTCTAAACTTGTTTTCTCTCTGATTTCAGATAATACATACATTATTACATCTGTTCTTTCAAAAGGCAGATAACTTGTCTTAATTTTACACATATCAATGAGAATGGAAGGCAACTTAAAGAAATCACTTCTGCTTGCCACAGTTTTGGTTAGCTTTTACAGGTGTAGGTGCTGCTTTTTTTTCTCTAGAAAACTTTAGCTTACAAGTAAGACTCGGGAGGAAGAGCCCAGTGACTTATGAGAGAGAATATATCTGGGGAGAAAACAAACAAGTTAGAAATGTACAGCATAGAATTTCACTTAAGAAGTTGACTCGATCCTTGTGTGTCCTTCCCAGCTCAGAATATTCTGTGATTTAGAAAGTATCAAGAGTGTGGGGTATATGTCTAGATCTGGAAGCCTAGTTCCATACTTTTTAGGATATGAGCTAATCTGCCATTCTTTAGCATTCTAGAATTCATCTGCTGGGGACATGTTTCGAGCATATTTAGAAATATGTGGTTTGTTGGTAAGCACATGACACATACCAGCAGTGCAGCTTGGTACAGTGCCGATCTCTGTTCCCCAGAAATATTTTGGATGGAATTTCATGTTGAGAGTATTGCAGAAAGAGAACTCTACTGCTTTCTCTGCTGTTTGGGTTTTTTCTCTTTTTATTTTAATTTCAAGCTTTCAACCATATTGGAAGCTTTCTAAAAAAAACCTGCCTGTGGAGAAAATTACCTCAAATTGCAATATATCATTGCAGTTGTTTAGTGAAGAACTAGATAACTGCAAATGAACATGATGAACACATTAAAAAGGTATTGAACAATGTAAAAATAAAAGTGCATTTTCCTGCAGGTTCATAATACCTTAACTTATAGTCTAATAAGTGGGGGGATGAGGAGGATGTTATAATTAAATCATTAACAAAAATACACTGGCTACTTTGGGAAAGCTTAAATGTTCTAAAGAACTGAAGGAACAAGTAAAGAAATTTTGGTTCTACTTTTCAGAAGGACCAGGAGTCCATAAAGAGTTTTAGTGTTCTATGGGGACAAGGTTGTCAAAGATACTCATGGGGAACCTAGACATCCAGGTTATTTGAAAATTGTGCTCTGTCTCTTCCTCTTGTCCTGATCCTAAGCAAACATACATTCAGGTGGGAGTTCGAAGGATGGAAGCTCCTGTGAGAGCTTTAGATACACATAAATTAAATTATTAAATTAAATTATTGAGTAATAATGATTCCAGCACTGAAAACTGACATATATAATAGCATGCAATGAGGGGAAAACTAAAACTTTAACCATAAACTGTTCATGAGGTGCTATCAGTAAAAGAAAACAAAACTGATTTGGTGTGTGTTTTTGCTTTGTACATTTTTTAGAAATTCCAGAAAATACCTTTATTTCTCAGAAATATGTGGAGAAGTTGAAATCTCTTGACCAGTATGAAGAATTAAACCTACAGTAAATGGAACGTTCAGGTGGATTAAACTTGTCAGTTTAACTCAAACCAAACTAATTAGCTGCAATCCTCAAAACTGACTCCTGATGGTGAATTTTGATCCTGAGGTGTGTACTCAGAACAGTAACTAAATGTTTTTCTGATGTCTGTCTTTGATTTCACAGTCAAAAAATGACAATAATCTTCTAGGGCATGAATGAATCTTAGCATCTTATTAGCATCCTTGCATATTTTTATAGAATCATGCAAAAATTCAGGTTGGAAAAGACCCCTAACATCATCAAATACAGCCTTAAATCCAGCACTTCCAAGTCCAACATTAAACCACATCCCTAAGTGCCACATCTATGTGCCTTTTAAATATTCCAGGGATGGTGATCTACCACTTCCCTGGACAGCGTGTTCTGATACTTGACAGCCCTCTCTCAGTGAAGAAATTTCCTAATATCCAATCTAAACCTCCCCTAGCACAACCTGAGGCCACTCTCTCTTGTTCTGTCACTTGTCACCTGGAAGAGAAGACTGACCTCCTCCTTTCAGGCACTGGAGAGATCATAAGGTCTCCTGAGCCTCCTTTTCTCCAGGCTGCACAAGCCCAGCTCCCTCAGCTGCTCCCCATCAGGCTTGTTGTCTTTTTTTTTCCAGTCTGGAAATCTAGTTGCCCTCTACCTGCTCAGGGAAGAGTTCTTTCCTCAAACAGAGAAGAAAGCCATTACTGTAGTAAATGGTTTCCCCAGAGACACGTGCAGGAATGTGATGGTAACAGTTATCTCTTACCCTCTAAAATGCAATGGTTCTTTTAACTTTTCAAACTTCAAAAAGCCCTTAAATCCTTACTCCTAGATTGCTGAATGCTAATTAAATGGTGTCTCCTGTATACTTCCTCGTACTCCAGTCATTAAAATGGTATTTTAATGCCTTTGTATCTGAGGTTAAATAAAAAGTAAACAAAACATCTTTTTATTGAAGCTTCTGAAAGGATAAATGCAAGATGAACTCTTTCTTCCATCCTTTTAGAGAGAGGCTATTCCTCTATTGAGAGAGGTGAAATATTTGCTGATGTTGAGCCAACCCAACATTCCAGATTCTGCTTTAGGTATCTGTTAGAAAAGGAGCAATTATACAAATCTTCCTGACTGTGGGATGTGTGAGGTGTGTGTATCTTTTCTTTTGTTCTTTAAAGACTTGTTTTATATAATTGATGGAAAATCAGTTTTAAAAAAAGATGTTGTCTTTTGTTGTAATGGGGCCCATGGTCACTTTTTGAATTTTTCTTAATAATGACCAAATTGTGTTCACTTTCATCAACCTCCTCCCAGACCCATATAGAAACTCCAGTGACTGTGTTATACTTTGCCTTCCATATCACAGGTAACAGCAGTTTGGGACTGTTCAAATACAGATTCAAAAGGTAGAATTTGATGGCTGTCAGGTGGTGCTGTCTTACAGACATCCCCAGCCACCTTTTTCCCTATATATTCTGCCACACACCCCTCCCAGTTACAATTTTTGTGAGTGGCAAATGTAATTTGGTGGAATTCCCTGAATTGAGAAAATCTGGTTAGAAGAACAGATGGAAAGGCACAACAGCTGTAGGGTTTCCTACTGACACTAAAAGAAGAACTGATTAAAACATTGTTTAAGAGCAGCATCTGCATATGAGAAATTTTGTTTGGTCTGTTTCAAGATATGCACTGAACTGTAAATTCTGTTAAACAGAGTTAGGTGAAAGTTAAACCAATGTTTTTAATCAAATAATTAGAACTTCTCTCCAGAATCAGTGAGTTTTCCAGTGCATGGTGGAATTTCTATTTCTGTGCCCATCTGGTCTAGTGTTTTAGTAGGATTTTTGGTGTGTACATTTAGCTGGTTTTCTAGTTACTCTGAAGTGACTGACATTCAGGCCTCCCTTTCTTGTACTTTTGATACAGACATAAACTCCCCATCAAGGTATCTTTCCCATCCTGATGGAATTTTTTTTCACATTGTTTACTGGATGTTTTTTTCTTGGGGAGATTTGTGGAATGAGAAAGCCATTTCCAGGTCATCTTTACATATTTGAAAGTGTGTTAAAGCAGCAGGTGTAGAATTGTTTTACTTTGTGGAAGATTCCCAGCTTAATTAAAATGAAGTTTTATGTGATTATACATAAAATAACTTGAGTTTATTAAGTTCAACTAATTTATAATTACCAATGATCCATAAAAAATAATTATTTTAATTATATTATGTTTTAGGACAAAAATCCTAGTAGAAACTATGACATAGAGTACAGTTTGAGCTCAATAATTTATTCACTATGATTTTTTATTTGTAAGTAGATGCTTGAGTATTCTCACTGTTAATAAACAGATTTTACTGATATAGTTCTACCATGTGTGATATTTTTTGTTTAAAGAAAGTAAGTAGGAACTCTGTTAAATAGGAACTGTCCAAAGAATGGAATGTCATTGAGACTACAGCTCTGTCAGTATGGCACAAAGTAATTCCTCTTCAGGCATCTGACACAGCAGTTAATCAGAAGAAAATGCACTTTCTTGATGTATGTTGAATTCTGGAATCAGTCCTTTTTATTTCTGGTTTTCTTAATAAGAACAAAGTCAGTGACAACTGACATTACCTGTTCTTCACATATAAGCAGATGGAAGAGAAGGATTCAAAATGGAAGGTCCCTTTCATTTTGATGTGGAAAATCCATACGCTCATCTCAATAAGGTTACGAGTGTTCTCAGAAAAAAGATACTTGCTTGTAATGTTTCAGTACAAAAGTTAATGATATTTCTATGTACACATTAAATATTTGTGAATTGGGTCTTCTAGGTTTTTGTTAGGTTTTTTTTTCACTGGGATTTTTTTGGAGGGTTTTTTGTTTTACTGCTGTTTTGCGGGGGTTTGTTGTTTATTGGTTTGGTGATTTTATTTTTTTTTTCTTCAAGATGCTGGTATAATTCTAGTGCCACCAAAATCAGGTTTCTTGTTTCTCTTCCAGTGTTGCAAGTGCCTATGAAAAAAAAAATTAAAAAATTCAGAATACTTTCATGTTCCTTTACACAGTCATCATAATGTGCTCTTGAGTAGAGTAGCCTAAAGCAGGCTATTAAGTGGTTCTTTCTTAAAACATCATGGGGGGACTTTGTTAAAATTTATACAACTTTAAGAAGAAGTGGTTTAATAAGTTAAAGAACACAAGAATATAAATTAACTTCTTTCTATGCAGCTTCTCTTTTGTGGTTTCAATACTGGGCCCTTTGTATGCTTTTGGGTGCTTTCAGAGGCAATGCAAATGCAGGTTTGTAGCCTCCTTGATACAATTCTCTCAGCTTTTCTTATCTTGAATCATGTATGCAGGATCTACAGATTACAGTGACAGGTTAAGTAAGCTCAATATATCCTACAACTGTACTTGGAGTGTTCCTTCCCTTCCCTCTTCCAGGCAAATCAAGAGCTTGAGATGCTGGAAAAATAAATGTTTCTAATAGAGGAATCTATCTACAGAACTATTTGAAGTATCTATTCCAGGCTACAAGCACATGAAACAATGTTGGAAAGAAGTGCAGCTGCTCAAGAAAGTGTGGGATACTCATGTTTACATTAATATAAGATTTTTCTTAAAATTAACTATAAATTTGGAATATATTTGAATGTTATATTTTTAATTTGATCCTAGAAGTGCTATATATTTTTTTAAAAATTAAATACTGAAGATGTTACTATTCCTTTTGTTTTTGAAATAATAGTTGCTATGTTTTAGGATAGCCAGAGTAAAAATATCTCTGTTCCCAAGTCAACCAATTTCAAGATAATCCCAAAGCAAAACAAACTTTGTAGTTTACTTTAGAGCTTTCTTGATACCCAGAACTTGCTTGATTAATTAAAATGACTGAGTAAAAATTCAGAACTCCGTAAATCTAATTCAGAACTCAGGACTGTACATTAGAAAGCTCTACAAATATAGAAGCAAGTGTCCAGACAAGTCAGTGTACAGACCTGTGTGGGGAATCAGTTTTGCAAAGTTCCATTTCCCTCAAGATGCTGCCTTTCACAGGCAAGGTTAAAAATACATGTGCTAGATCTTCTTTCTGTAATTTTGTTTGTAGCTCCCCCAGGAGGAGTTGCAGGGCATCTTCCCAAAATCTCTCAGGAGTTACTTGTGGATATAGATGTGTGTTTAATAGCAAAAGTAATTTGTGCATGCATGTTTTTATCAGATACTGAAACAGAAAACTGTTAAAATGCTTGGCCTTTGAGTTGAGTTTAGAGAAGACAGATTATTGTGTGTGCTTTCTAAGTAATGGTGGTGTAGGAAAAAATTAAGGCCGGTGAGCTATTGCTGTAGGATGGGCTTTCCCCTGCATCCATTTATCTGTTTTGTAGCAGAAGGTTGTCTTTACCAAATGTTGTTGATGCTTTTATCTGTACTTTCTGTTTCAGAGCAGCATTGATGATTGGACTAAAACCCAGTGGAGAGAGATTAATGTGGAACAGATGGATGTGCAGCTCAGAAGGTTTGCCAAGGCAGGTTCCACAGCCGCCTATTTCTGCAATTTATCTGTCTCAGTGCCACCCCTTCCTCACTCTTCCCACCCACTTGGATGCTTTGGTGGGTCTATTACTCATGTCCAAGCTGCATGCTCTGGAACATGCTTTGTTTTGGGGGCTTTCCTTTAAAACTTTATTTTTCTGAATGCGTTTCCAGCCCCTGTGGAGTTCTATGTAAAATCATGATTCTCTGAGTCGGGGCAGCGTGGGAAATAAAAAAAAAGAGGGTGGGGGTTTAGGACAGACCCCTCCAGACAACAATCTCTTTTACAGGTGGAATTTGCAGAGGTTCATCTGCTCTGCTCATAAATGTAGCTCCAGAGGGTTGGGAGCTGCAGGGAAGGTGCTCATTTCTAAAGGGAGGGCACTTCTTTTGCCTGATGTATTTCAATGTTTTGTTGACAGTAGCCCTACAGAAGAGAATTCCAATGGGAAGAGAGAAGTATGAAGTAAAAATAACAACAAAGTTTCACTCCCCAGGCTATTTTCAGGACACTACAACTGTGCCTCACAGACAGTACAGTGGTTGAATAGGAAGTCTTGAACTTAACAGATATAAAGTTTCTTCTTGTTTACACATTTGTTTCATTCAGAAACAAATAATTGCATGCCCATTTGTTAGTCTTCTAAAAGAAAAATCAGACTTCATCGTAGATGTCTTCTCCTAAATTGCTTCAAAAGTGTTAACTCTACCTACCCAGTTCAAAAAGATTCCTGTGGTTTTGGTACATAGGCTGTAACATGGAGCAGTTGTTGGTTTTAAAAATTTGAATAAAACTATTTTAAACCATTTTGAAAAAAAAAAAGTTGAAGACAAATTTCCATTTTTTTTTTTTCATTTTTAAAATGAAAAAACTGTGAAGCTGAAAGTGTAGAAGAGAGCATAACAGAATTTTTCTGTTTTTCTTCAATAGACCAATGATTTATACCACACAGTTTTAATAAAAACACATTTAAACTTATTTTTAATGCAGGAAGCTCCTAAACAGGATTAGCAAAAAATTGTGATTTTTTTTTTAACAAAATGAAAAAATAATCAATTGTCATTTTTTTCAAATCATAGATAAAAATTTTAAAGTTTTTTTTTTTTTAAATTGAATTTAATTAATCTTACCAAGTAGCAACAAAATACTGCAAATATCCCCATCACTCCCCAAGGTTTCCAGTTTTCAAATACTGAGTATCTTACATCAGCTTCAATGGCAGCTGTGCAAGTAAACTTACCTTCAGTGTTAAAAAGTACAAAACATCAGAGTAAAAGAAAAAATGGAAAAAAACACCAGAAAACCAAACCTATAACAACATCAATAAGTATTTCTGCTAGGCTGATTAATTCCACACTTTGGTGGAAGATCTGAAAGTATATCTGGCATCTAGAGTAAATATAACTCATTTAATTGTGTTTTTTACTTAGATGCCATTTGAATACTTTGTTATATACTTATGTCAGACTTTTTCATTGATTTAATTTGCTCCCTGCTGTGTCTTTTCTCTACAGGTCAGGCTTTTAATAGCAGAAGACCTTCTCAGGCCTTCTGGGGCTCCAGTTTTGTAAAGGGAGAAGATGAAGTCCAAAGTGTAGCTGTCGATGCTGTGCATGACTTGAGCACTGAGAAGGTGGGAGGTGTACTTTTATTTTCCTTCTGGTTTTGCAGAATAGTAATAATATATAACAAACTGTTTGTTTAGGTCTTGTTGCAAGAAATTAATCATAGAACTGAATATTTTCATGAGACTTTCCTAGGTATCAAAATTCACAGCCTCACAAAATGAACTTATTTTCTGTGGTGTAGTTTACCATCACTGTGAATTATATGTAATTTAATTAAATTCCTCAATTCCAAATATGAAATGTGATCTATATATAGAGACAGACATTATTATTACTCTTATTATTTCCAGATTTTGGAAGAAATCTGCCAAACATGGACTGCCATGGAATTTTCTTACCAAGAGCAGAAAAGAATAGAAATTCCTCTATTAAAGTCCAATGAACAGCTGCTTGAAACTTTAGGTAACAATCAAATAAGAATTTAATTGTTAGAAATATTGTTATTGTATCAATATTATTCACTCCCCTGATGTAATTGGCAAGTTAAAACTTTTTTCCTGAATCTTGATTGCAGATTTATATTTTCTCCAGATGTTAATACTGGAAATTTACATGTACACTGTGTAACAATTTTACATTCCTGTCTCCTTGTAGGAGTTAAAAAAAATAACAGCTTTCTAAGTTTTTAATTCCTTCAACTTAAAAAAAAAATCCTTTAATAACATGCTGTCCATTTTCAGTGTTGAAAGATGTCTTCTCTTATGATATACAAGAATAACAATTACAGGAGAATTTGTTTAGGCTCTTGTTAGCTTTAGTTCCTCTGTTTGATAAACTATTTTGATTAGTGCAGTTTTTTCTGGCTTTTTTTTTTGTTTGTTTTGTTTTTCTAGTTTCAGATGCAAGTGATTCTGAAAAGTAAATATGTGGAACATTTCATTGAACAAGTGAAAGGCTGGAAAAGTAAATAAAACACGGCAGATTCTGTCATTTCTATTTGGATGGAACTTCAACACATGTGGTATCTTCATCAAAGTAATTATCTGCCTTGTTTTCCTTTTACATGGGCCTGTAGGGAGTTGCTGGTGTCACAATTTGAGACGAAGATCTGCAGGTCATTCTTTCACATGTCTTTAATATCTTCTTGTATTTACTCTTTGTTAGCTTTTTAACCTCCTGGAGGCACATAGAGATACAATACTGCTGAGGTGAGGAAATCTTTTCACCAAGCTCCATATCGTTTAGGAAAGTGGTGGTTGAAATACAAGTTTCTGGTCTGTTATTTATTAATGTCTAAAGGTAACTACAACAATCAACATAAACACTTGAACTGACACAAAGAATTGTGCCTTAATTGCTCACTCTGACCAAAAAAAAGTCGCTGATCCCTTGCATAGTAAAGATGATAATTTTGTGTTGCCCATACACCTGTAATTCAATCCACAGATGCCAGGGAAAGTTCTCATCGTGTGCAATTCTGAAAATCTGATATAGGATAATGTTCTACAGGGAGCTTTGAAATTTCAAATATATTTCTAATTGTTTAAATCTGCAATTTAGAAATATTGACAGCAACATGTCTCACTGTATGCCAAAAAAAGTGTATTTTTTGTACAACTTGTGAACCCTGCTAAGAGCAATGAAATGATTTGTGGTGTTTAACATGCATAAGTTTCTTCATGGTGCATATTGGAAAAGGCATTGAGCTTGCATGAGCAGAAATACTCTAAATTAATCATCCTGCTAAAATCTGTCATTTTTCTCTTCAAGAGTTTTTTTGGTATCATCAGTGATATTTGCAGTTCTCTCCATTAATATTACTTTTTCTTCATATTCAGTCTAAACACTGTCAAAATAGGTGTTTGTGGCTTTAATTATTTTTTCCCCATCTAAGAAATAGAACTTAAAACAAATTGATTAGGCATATTCTTTATTCCCATGTATTCTTTTTCCCCACGTTTTTCCTTGTTTTTCCAGTTTAGTAAACCATATGAAGTAGAAAAAATAAATTTGAGAGTTGAAATAGCTCCCTTTCTTTCTGTACAGCATTTGGTGACTGACATAACAAATAAAGAAAATGTGATGGAAGCTGTAAGAAAACCGAAGGTGTATGAAAGCTTTGAAGCTCTGCAGCAGAGGTAAAATTTCCAGTATGATTACAAACTGCTCTAAAATGTAGTTCTGCAGCAAGCAGGAAATGAGAGCTGTCAGATTGTTTCCTTTTTGTACAGCTGTGAGATGTTCTGAAGATATTTTTGTCATTTGTTTCTATTTGACATACTGGATTTCTACTGCTTTTTACATGACCAGTTAAACTTGAGGCATTGGTTCATTATTTAGGGATGGCATGATGTCAAAATTGTCAAAGGTCTTAAAAAGATGTTCTGTTTGGATCAAATTCACTTTCTCCCTATCCACACTCTGGGAGCTGGGAGTCCTTCTTTCACTCTTGCAACAGGAGGTAGTGGATTTGTGCAACCAAAGTCCCTCCACACACTTGAAGGAATGATTTGAACTTCCCACCTTTAGAAGAGGGAAGCTTTCCCTTAAGAAGCAGCCGTGTTTGAAGTCACAGTCTATTACTTCTTTCAGGAAAATGTTGCAATAGGAAGTTAAAAAGAACCCAACACAAACCCGTTTCTTGAGATGTCACTTTTGTTCTGAGAGATACAAAGCTAATAGCTGGAGTGCATCAGTCAAGCATAAATAAATATGGCTTCTTTTTCTTTCCTGATAGGCATATAATTGAATATTTTGAATCTGAATACTTTTTTTTTCAATACTAACATGTGTTTTCATATTTTTAACTCTTTGTACATCAAAAATATGTGTATCTTTTGTAAAAGTGTTTTCTTTGCTCACCCACTGAACTAATTCTTATCTGTTTTTTCAGTTGTTGCTTTGGTGGTTTTCTTTTTAAATTTAACTGCACATAACTGCACTGTTGAGTTAGAAAACTTTTTTCTCATCCTTTATTTCCTAAGGCTGGATTCTTTGGAAGGTTGAAGAGGTGTTTCCCCTGGCCAGACTCACCTTTTGGGAGACTTTCCTGGCACAATTCCATTCCCTTGGTTTCCTTGGTCTGAATGAAATTGTTGTCTTTTGTTTTGTGGAAAGAAAATGTGAAAGGCTTGCCAGCATCTCCGATCCTTACAGCTGTGTTCATCGTTATCATTTTAAATCAATAGTGGATTCTATTGTTCTGTTTTAATGTTTGGTCTGATTTTTACCTTAACTGAGAGGGAATTCCAGGCTTTAAGATTATTTAAGGCATGTGTCATTAAAATCTGTCTCTCTTTGTGAAAAAGCTTTGTCAGTATACTTAGAAAGCAAGGGCATACTTTTTCCTCTCTTCTATCTTGTTTTTTCAGCAGACTTGCTAGGCATCCTTTGAAGAGGAACACAGCCAGAACAGCTGAGCCTCTTTGTGTATTAATGTACTTAATTTTCTCTACAGAAAGGGAAGTTTTCCAGCTAACCTTGTGAGCTGATAATATCATTGAACTGCACCTTTGTTCTGAGCAAATTTCTAATTTACTTTGAAAATAGAAACATTTTGCCTAAGGAAGGCAGTAAATACTTTTTCCCTCCAGCTAAGACAAGTACAAGGTGTTCAGCAAGAAGAGATGAGAGATGTTACAAATCCCAATCTGTCCTTGCTGGAAATTTAGCCACGTGGAAGTTGCATTTATTTGGGTTTTTGGGTTGTAGGTTTGCAGGAGTTAGAAATGGAAAAGGTCAATGAGATCATCAAGTCTATTCTTCTTCTTCTAGAATTCCAGGCAAGCAATGCATAGTGATGATAAGTAAGACTGAAAGATCTATGGTGTCTGGTAGCTGTTACTGACTGAGCTGCTGACCCTTGCAAGAGGCATGTTTTTGTAGCTATCCTTCTGTGTTCCTCTCTTGAACAATGATCTGCTAGGTTATGTGACACCAATCTGTGTAAAAGAACAGGCACTTTGATGTATTTCAGAAGCTTCATACTGTGTTATCTACATGCCAGATGATACTTCTGGCCTTGGTTGCTATCCAGCCACGGCCATCAATTCTCTGAGTGCTGTTTTTAGTGTGCCTCAGGCAAAACCTTTTTTTTGGAGGACTGTGAGTTGTAACAGAAGAACTGATATTTTCAGAGATGATGAAGACTTGAACATGGAGCCTTTTCAAACATGGTAGGCCCTCATAGATTCTTCACCTAACTAAATCTCAGGGATTTGTTTCATCCACACATAAGGCAAGCAAACAAATCTTCTGTTTTAGGTGTCAGGCAAAAGAGCACACAGGTGCGCAGACAGTGATTTTCAAATTCCATGGTCTTTGGAGAGATGTGTGGCTACAAAAGGCATTTAGACCTTAATAGGCAATTTGTAAAATGAGCATTAGCCATAAATAATAACAATTTCAAGACTCCTCAGTTTTATATTGAGCATTGTCCTTTAGACTCTTCTGACAACTGACAGAAGTGTAATTAACTCCATTCACTGATTTATCATTTTGGCCCAGCTTTTGCCCATAAAAACCTTGTGTGTAGTAATCATGCAACAGTCAGAGAGTCATCCACTTTAACAGAGGCGTGATTAGTGTGATTGACACAAATCTTATGTAAATGGTTTCCTTATACATCTGGTATTTTTGGATGCAAATAGCCTGTCATCTTACCAAACTTTCTGACAATGTTACTGATCTTAAATTTTAAGAGAATACAGAGGAGTATATAAATGTTGCCCATGGGATATACAGCACAGAAAAGAAGCATATTCTGTTCCATGACAAATGCAGACCTAATGATCACATGTGTTATGTGAAGTCTCCTTGATAAATTTTGCCCTGTTTGGGATGTAGATTAAATAGATCCTTTCAATTGTGTGAAATGCTACTTTTAATTATATAAATTTGGAAAAAATAAGAAATAATAATAAACCCAGAACACTTTGTTACCCAGTACTCTGTAATTTACTAATAATTTAATACATTTTCTGTCTTCCTCTTGTACATAAAATGTTTTTCAGAAGAAGTGTAGAGAGTACTGTTTGGAAGTAATGAAAATGGAAAAACAAGTATTAAAAGTCACAGTACTACTGATCAAGACTATGGTTGAATGTTGCATTTTTCATACTTTCTCTCTTCTGCTTTTTTTGCTTTGCCTTCTGTTATAGTTTCAGGTCCCCTCTGCCTTATGCTTTAGCACACACCTCTCCAAACCTCCAGCACTCTCACACATCCCCTATCAGCTGAATGGGGTTTCAGCTGGTCCTGAGCCTCATCTTTGCCAGCTGGCCAGCCAGGATGTGTGCTAACTGGATAGTGGTAGTTCAGGGAGAACAGATCAGCAACTTCTGAGACAATAACTTTTTGTTCTCAGAACAGTGCTGAATGCATTCACATTGCATAAAATCAATGTTGCTTGTGGTTCTAATGATTGATTGTCGCAGCAGGGAGGCCCCAGACTGAATGCACAAGTGTATGCAGCTTGCCTCTTGGAGGTAGTTGCTCCAAGATACAGCTATGTTTGAGCTCATGGAGACAAAAAAATACTGTATTGTCTGTGCTTTACTGCCTGGGCTGTGGACACAAAAATTCCCGACTTTCATGTTTGTAGCTCTAAGACAGTATGTCTGTGTTTAAGTCAAGTGGATATGTAAAAAAACCCAGCATCTGATATCTCATCTAAATCCTACTGAAAGCACAATGACAGAGAAAATGGAGGGAAAATCCACTCTCATTTCAAGTTTGTAAAAAGTGCTGACGTAAAGAAAATCCTTTGGAAGATTAGTGAGATGGTCTTCCTTTATTTTTAGTACAAAATATACCATTTATACTATGTGCATAAATTTATGCATGGTTGGGGATTTTTTTTTCTGCAAAAGCTGAAGTCTTGGTTGCTGTGCTTTGAGGAAACTATACACAATGCAGTTCATCTCTGCTCCTTGGAAGCCATCCTGGCCTGTGAAGAGAGACAGAGAGAACAGTGAGTTTTTGACCACCCAGCCCAGGTTGAACTTAGTGCTTT